CGGACAGAAGCTGCCCATTTAGTCTGTTGTATCTACTTGAGCTAAGAGGCACACTCCTCACGAGTATCACTTTATGTCCCACAGTCCAGTCCAATCCCTGTCTGAAGAGTTGGCTTCGGAAATTGATTTAGTTCTGGGCTGATAGAGAATCCAGGGGCCGTGCTTTCTGGGGTTCCTCCAGTCTCAGACCATTAAGTCTGGTCTTCTTACTAGAATCTGAGTTCTGCACCCCACCTTTCTCCTGTTCTATCAGGGACTCTCTTTGTGTTCCCTGTCAGGGCAGTCATTAGTGGTAGCCGGGCACCATCTAGTTCTTCTGGTCTCAGGCTGATGAAGTCTCTGCAAACCATGCCATTCTTTTCTGTCATTGCCAATGTTCAGATCCTCAACTGGGCCATTAAAATTATTTCCTAAATGGTCCCCCTACATTCAGCCTCTATTTTCCCTCTTCACATATAAATAATCCCCTAGAACTAACACCAAGTTAATAGCTCTTGAATCTGTCCCTTTTCCATTCTTATTTTCTTTATGTTTACTATGGCAGATAAAGCCCTTCATAAGTTGTCTTCTACAGAACTTTGCAATCATCTCCCATCCCTCTCTCCTCACCGTTCAGAACTACTTATATTCTTTTAAAACAAATGAACTTTCTGTTGATTGCATGCTTTTGTACATGCTATTACCCCTGTACAGAATCACCACTACCTGTTTCCAAAAGCTTTTCATCATCCCAAATAGAAACTCAGTACACTGTAAGTAGTAACTCCTCATTCTCCCCTCCCCTAAGTCCCTGGTGATCACTAATAAACTTTTGTCTGTATGCATTTGCCCTTTCTAGATATTTCATATTAAGTGGGATCATACAATATTTGTCCGTTTGTGTCTGACTTATTTCACATAGCATATTTCAGTGTCATGTAGCATGTATCAGAACTTCATTTCTCTTTATGATTGAATAATATTCCATTGTATGTGTATACCACATTTTGTTTATTCAGTAATAGTTGGTAGACATTTGGATTGTTTTCACCTTTTGACTATTGTGAATAATGCTTCATTGAACATTGGTATACAAGTATCTCTTTGAGTCACTGCTTTTAATTATTTTGGGTATATACATAGGAGTGGAATTGCTGGTTCATATGGTAATGTTATGTTTAACTTTGTGAGGAACCACCAAACTGTTTTCCACAGAGGCTGTACCATTTTGCATTCTCACCAGCAATTGAAGAGGATTCCAATTTCTCTATATCCTTGCCGAAACTTTTTATTTTCCTTTTTACTGATAATAGCCATTGTAGTGGGTGTGAAGTGTTTGATGCTGGTGCGACGGTTAAGCGCTCAGCTGCTAACCAAAAGGTTGGTGATTCAGACACCCCAGTGGCTCTGTGGGAGAAAGACCTAGAAATCTACCTCCATAAAGATTACAGCCAAGAAAACTTTATGGGACAGTTCTACTCTATTACATGGGGTCACTATGAGTCAGAAATGGACTCAAAGGCACCCAGCAGCAATGATTAATGACGTTGAGCATCTTTTCATGTGCTTCATGGCAAATTAATTTGTTTACAAATTAGAGAAAGGTCTATTCAAGTCCTTTGCCCATTTTTAAATTGGATTGTTTGTCTTTTTGTTGTTGAGTTACAGGAATTCTTTATATATATATTTTTTTATTGTAGTTCAGGTGAAGGCTTACAGAACAAATAGTTTCTCATGAAACAGTAGTACATATATTGTTTAATGACATTGGTTAACAACCCCACAGCATGTCAACCCTCTCCCTTCTCGACCTTTTTTTTTTTTTGGTGAAAATATACATAGCCAAAGATACACCATTTCAAAAATTTCTACA